TGAAATGAGATTCAAGTGATATCTGTTGATTTAATTTTTACTGAAGAAACACTCTTATACATTTTCTTACCTGATTAGCTCACAAAAACTTTAATGTGGGCAAAATTTGCTTAAATACTCTGAGTTTACATAGTACAAAGGATACTCAGAGAATGTCTCTCATAGCGGAGACGAAGCATAGGCAGAAGACTACAGTTTCTGCCAGGCTATTGGAATGCTACAGCAACAGCTACTGTCATGTTCTTCTGTCTCCTAAGGACAGATGTTGCCAAGTACAGGTGATCCAGGGAAAGACTAGTGTATCTACTATGGGCTGATTTATAGATAGGAAAGGGTGCCTTGGAAACTCAGTCTGGAGTTCTAGTTCAGGGTTGTATCAGGGGAGACACTGAATACTGTTCACTGTTTTTGAAATTGATATAGTAACTGGCAGTGACATTCAGGGTTATATCATGGGAGACACCGAATACTGTTCATTATTTTTGAAATTGATACAGTAACTGTCAGTGACATTGTTCAATTTAACTTTTGGGTGTCACTTGCAACATCAACCAAATAGCAGCCAGGTTGGTTATGAAAAGAGAATAACTAAAAACAACATAAAGTCACTGTTGTTTTTGTTTGTCTATTTTGCAGTACCAAGGATAGAACCCAGGGCCTTGTATACTCTAGGCAAGTGCTGTGCCACTGAGCCTTCTCTCCAGCTCTTTTGTTTTGTTTTGTTTTTGTTTGTTTGTAGGCTCTTTTCTTTTCAACAAGGTCTTGTTGTTTAGCTTGGGTTGGCCTTAAACTTCATGTATAGCTTCCACCTTCTGAGTGCAGGAATTACAGATATGTATCGCCACACCTGGCTACAAAAATCACTAATTTTAGATGATGCAAGTCTACTTGTATAGAGAGCTGGACTCTCTTCTCTTGTGGTAACCAGAGGGGGGAAAAAAACAAAGGAGCAGGACAACATTCAAGTGAAGGACAGAGGGAGGGCGGAAGAGGTGGTGGTGGTGACAGGGGAAGCCCACAGAAGAGCAGGGTTGCCTCAACCCTGAGAGGAAATGACCTGGTGTCCTGGGCTCTGTGGCTTCCTTGTCTAACATCATATACCACTATACCACTGTGATGCCAGGGAAGGGGTGGTCAGCGCACTGAGGCTCAGCTGCTCCTGGTTGACAGGGTACAGTAATAAACGTAGGTGAGAAATTCTAGACTTTGCTTTGAGAGATAGGCAAGCTTCTGTACCTCAACTCCCAGAGTTTCCCTTGACTACTGATCATTATTGTTCTTGAATGATAGAGTTCCATTGCAACCACAGGATGCCAGAGTTGGTAGGCCCTTCACTGTCATGTAATCTACCCCCTTCTTAGGCACATGAGAGAAAATGAAAAGGAAGAATGCTTGCTAAAATGACATATTTCATGAGAGAGCCAGGTCTTCTATTTGCCACACCAATGTTCTTCCTGCCCTAACCAAATGTCTTTAAGATACTATTTCCCAATAACGAAATCTTTATGGTCAGTGGCTAGAAGATAGCCGAGAGATGGGAGGTGGTGATACTGGGTTATGTGGAGAGGCAAAGGGTAAGGGAGGGTGACGTGTTTGTTGAGGGGTGAGCTAGGGGGAAGGGGTGAGGCTGGAGGGAGCTCATTGAAGATTAACCTCCCTTGTCCCAAGGTGTGGCCTGATCCTGATGACCACGAGTTCACTGAGTTCTCTTTGTCTTTTCCATGTCAGCCATGAATGTGGCCCAACCTGCAGTGGTACTGGCCAGCAGCCGAGGTATCGCCAGCTTTACGTGTGAATATACATCTTCACGCAACACTGATGAGGTTCGAGTGACAGTGCTGCGGCAGACAAATGACCAGATGACTGAGGTCTGTGCCACAACATTCACAGTAGAGAATGAGTTGACTTTCCAAGATGATCCCATTTGCACTGGTACCTCCAATGGAAGCAGAATAAACCTCACCATCCAAGGACTGAGAGCTGCTGACATGGGGCTCTACTTCTGCAAGGTGGAGCTCATGTACCCACCACCATACCTTGTGGGCATGGGCAACGGGACCCAGATTTATGTCATTGGTGAGCAAAGCCATTTTACTAAGAACATATCTGTTGCATCGCTATCTTCTTTACATGAGAATAATTTTGTTCCTTAGTTGAGGCGATTTGTAATTAGGACTGTGATTCATAGTTGAGTTCTCTAGTAGATGGAAGTTTTGCTTATGGTGAGTAGTTACCTAAATATCATTCTGACTAAATAAGATGAGGTGGGGAAGGTATTTTATTCTGCTGACAGGTTGGAACACTTGTTCTTTGATAAGCATCACGAAGTCTGTCCTTGTGCCTATGTTGAAACTCTGGGGAAGTCATGTCAGAAAGCTAGACTTCACCTGTGGGCTACCAGTATAGTTTAGGGCTGAGTACCAAAGTCTAGAAGCACTAACTTCTTTTTCACCCTTGAGGAAAGCAGGGCCCTAAGGTGGAAAACTGTCTCAGGGAGGCTTGTGCTTTTTCTCTGTTGTAGATCCAGAACCATGCCCAGATTCTGACTTCCTCCTTTGGATCCTTGCAGTGGTTAGTTCAGGGTTGTTTTTTTACAGCTTCCTCATCACTGCTGTTTCTTTGAGCAAAATGGTGAGTATGGTGTTGACAGTGCTCAGTGTTTGATGGGGACACCTTTAGTGATACTCACTGACCAAATGACAGGGTCAAGTTTAATCTTCATGAGATGAAGCAGTAAATGAAGAACAGGAAGGGCAGGGTAAAGAACACACTAGAACCCTACACACTGGCCTTTGAGTTTCAGGATGACTAATACTGTACGTGAGCATGCTTGACAGTGAATGTTTGTGTGCTTCTGAGCAGAGTTTCAGTTTGAGTAATTGTTTGAACAACATGGAGCAGCTGTTTTGGTCTTTACCTTTATGGCAATGGCACTCAAGTTAGTAACCCTGGAACACAAGATTCTGTTGGGAAAATGCTGTTAGTGAGGACCCCGGATGGATTTTTACTCTCCTCTAAATGTCCTTCATGGGAAACCATCTCTTGGTGCAACCCTTGTGCCTTTTTTGTTCAAGCTGTAGCTACTTGTAGAATACCTGTCCCTATTATCCTGCACACTCAAGCGGGATGTCCTGGCCTCTTCCTGGGCTCAATAAATGAACATTCCATTTTTTATTTATAGTAGCTAGTGGTGAAAAAGAGAGAAATGTAGACTTGAGCTTCCTGTCAGGGTTTGTAATAGCCCTTCTCAGCCGCCTGTGTGTAAGGCTGCCCTGCCCATTATAAACCAACTTCCCTTTTTTGCCTTTCCTTCCTCTCCTTTTCCTCTTTCTCTTACTCCTCAGTTCCTCCTTATGTCTCTATTTTTGTCTCTCTGTCATCATTTTCTGTATCTCCTTCTGTGTCTCTGTCACATATGAGGAGAGAGAGAGAGAGAGAGAGAGAGAGAGAGAGAGAGAGAGAGAAAGGGGAGTCTTTCATCAAGTCTCTGTTCAATCTGACAATGATTTTTTTTGTTGTTATGGGTTCTTCCCATTTGATTTGCTACAAACTACCACCCAGGCTAGCCGACTCGACATCAATTTGTCGACATGCTAGAAACTGGCAACTAATGCAGACAAAGAAAAAGTAATAAAATAAGAATAGGAGTGGAGAAATGCAGCTTCAAAACAGGATATTTAAAGTCGATTATCTTATTAAGCCTGCTATTCCATAGACAAGATCAGACAATTATCTTAGATGGTTGAGGGTGTTCTTGGTGGTTTTCTTAGAGTGTTTTCTTTTCTCTTTCATTCTGAGAGAAAATGGTTTCTATTTTACATCCCAAACACAGAATTATTTATCTAAAGTGAATTTTAATAGCCCAAATCAAGAAAATCTCCTAGTTTATAATTTTGTATATTGTAATTATTTGTTTTTGTTGGGGTAGAGACCCAGTATTTGCTGAGTCTTATTACAGCTAAAAGTGGCTTCTGTATTCTTTGATAATAATTGCTGTTTCTTTTTGTGTTTGGCAGTTAAAGAAAAGAAGTCCTCTTACAACAGGGGTCTATGTGAAAATGCCCCCAACAGAGCCAGAGTGTGAAAAGCAATTTCAGCCTTATTTTATTCCCATTAACTGAAAGACCATTTGTGAAGAAGAAAAAGCATATTTCAATCTGAACAAGTGAGGCAATTTCAGCTTTTTGCTACCCAGCTATTTTTATTTTTTTGTGTATTTTGGGGAGAGTTTGCCTCTCTTTAATATGAATCTGGATGCAGAATTCAAATTAAGTATACTGCAATTTAGAGCAAAGGACCAAGAAAACAGAATTGGAATATTTCTGTTATGCCAGATCCAATTTTAGTAAAAGTATCACTTGGAAGCAATATAAGGGTGTAGCATTATGACGTAGGGTCAAGGAAATGTTAGGGACTGACACAGTCCAAAGAAAGGAAGAGAGCAGAGAGGATTATATTGTACACACTTTACATTTACCTGAGATGTTTCTGACTGAAATGATCTTTAAAATTTTTATGCTTTTTAAGAATGTATAATTGCATGAAGATTTACAAAATATTCACATGGCTATGTGATAGCCAGTGATGTATTGTACCAATATGCATTTTTAAATAATATTGTACATGGGAGCCTCATGTGCTTTTGTGTATTTGAAGATGGTTTGACTACAAACACTATATGGCAGTGTCTTCCCATAATGGGTTCTGGGGAAGTTTTATAGGGGAGCTCAGGACACTAATGCATCAGGTAGGATACAAGGTCCCATGTTAACTGGCTTGAAAACTGGATGAGGTTGTGGCAGTGCTCAGCTGTATTAAAATTGTTAATGAGCTTTGGGTCTTTATATTCCTTCCTTTCAATGATTTGCAAGGAAGTCAGAGCTGGTGGTGTCTGTGTGAACTTGACAGAACACTGTTGTCAAGGAAACAGTCTAATTTAGGAAGCTCCAGTACCATGGTCCCAACTCCTTTCAAACACATAGTTAATGCTACAGGAAGAAGAAAGCAATGGTAGCACAATGGCATGCATGCAAGTTTCTGAAAATAACACTGTTGGTGTTTTTTTAACTCAATATTTTCCATGAAAATGCAACAACATGTATAATATTTTTAATTAAATAAAAGTCTTTGGTGGTTGTTTTATGGAGTTGTCTTTATTACTTTTTCATCTGAGTATTGTGTTTGAGTTTAGTTCTCCAAATATTTATTTTATTGTAATTATGTGTGCATGTGTATGTGTCATGTACATATGAGTGCAGGTGTAAGAGGTGTCAGATCTCCTTGGACTTTGGATTACAGGTGATTGTGAACTTCCTGATAATGTTAGAGTAACAAAAAGTCCCATAAGGTTAACTGTTCAAGACCATAAATTCTCTAGTCCATCTTTTGGGGACCTACCTACCTTTCTAGTTTCACTGGTCAATCACCTACTCATAGGATCACCCCTAGAAAGGCAGGTTCACCTTAAATCAAGTTAAATAGATGGGTGGAATACCTAGCGTGTTAATGAGCTAGTCAGCTTTTCCTGCTTGGAATCCTGCCTCCTAGTGCAGAGCTTTTGGACCCAGCCACAGACACACAGGTCTCTGTAAGTCTGCCAGCTTTTCTGAATTCTTCAGAAAAGAGTAAGCTCTCTTCTTCTTCATGTCCCTTTTCTAAACATGCTTTCTTCAATGTGTTGGGCTGCTCTAGCATTTGTATTTCTTTACTTTTTCTCTAAAGCTTCCTTCTCCCAGCCATGTGGCTATAAGTCAACCACGTGTCTGACCTCCAGACAGGCTCAAAACCTGCATGGCTTCATGGCTTTCTTTCCTTCTCCCTCCATTCTCCTCCTCAAGGCAGCTGCCAGGATTACCAGTTCCCTTGCCCTGAGGATTTTCCTTAAAATTCTAGTAAACTTGTCCTAAAACTTCTGTTTGGGTTCATTCTTAAATTCTTTTATAAATGAGACTAAGAATCCTCTAGGGGATGCTCTTTCTCCCCCGTTTCAATGTGGGTGTTGGAAACTCAGCTCAGGTTCTCTGCAAGAGCAGTATATGCTCTTAAAGGCTGAATTGTCTCTCCAGCTCTGGAGTTTGGTTTTGATTGATTCATTCAAAAATTTAGTAGAGTCTCCAATGCTAGAAATCCTGGAAACATTGGAAAAATGAAAAGGGGCAAAGAATGTGTCATGAGTCAGTCTTTCACCAGCCCGTCAACTGCAAACCATTCTTGGAAGGGATCCATCTTTTCCTTTGATTTCTTCTATTTGAATATAGTACAGACAAAGCTGTCCTTTAATGATTATATGTCATTCTCTTATGTCATTCTCTTTACCTGTCTTCACTTCCTCTTTCTTTGCAGTAGCTTTTGGTAGCCATTCCTCTTGAAGCCATTTTGATTCGTCTTCATTATAAATGGAGATTTCCCTGTGTCTTACAAATGGACTATTTTGCAAAGATAGTGGAAACATGTCTGCTGTTCTATGTTGCTATTAGCACACAAAACTTGGGCCTGTCCCACTGAAGTCTCTCTGATTCTTGGTTAACCAAGGTGTGTAATCAGTCTGCTTGGATTCCACTTAAGGTTTCTCATTCTTGACCTCTACATCCTGTTATTGTCTTGTGCAATGATTCTTTGTGTGGTCAAGGACCACCTCTAACTGAATACACTGGATCACTCATTAAGAACACTGACTCAAGTGCTTAACCCAGGTGTGCTGACTCATAATCTTTGGATGGTGAGTCCAGAAATTTCCAAGAATCTCTCTTGGGTCACTGCTAGGAGGTCAGAGGGTCCTGGCTGGAATGTAGGAAGAAAGGCCACTCACGCCTACACCTTTGTACACATGCCAAGCTCATTGGCCCTCAATCTTCCAGGCCCATGAGCCTCCCATTTCTCTGTAGAAGTGCTGAGATTACAGGTGTGCACTTCTAGGTCTTGGCTTTACATAGGTTCTGGGGATCCAAACTCAGGTCCTCTTGCTTGCACAGTAAGTGCTCTATCCACTAAGCCCCCTCCCCATCCCTCTCCAAATATCTTAAATCCCCCATTCTCACATCTATTGAAATCAACCTCAAGTTTTGCCTCTATCATCAGATTTCCTGTCACTTTAAGCCCACATGAATCTCTCCCCTTCTGTTTCACAGCTATCTTTGGTTCATCTCTAGTAGTTTGAAGTGTGTCTAGATTTTCTGCGTAGTTTGATTTGGAATTTTTCCAGGGTAGGAATCATCCCAGCTTTAGGCTTACTGGAGATGCTCAAACAAACTACTTAAAGAGTTAGGGAGTCAGGCTATCTGGGCCCATGGGAAGGACAACTGTCTTCTACTCAGAAGCTGTGTTTTCTTAGGTGGCCCAGTCTAATCCCTGTCCATTTGATCAACAAAACTCTATGTAGGTGTTGTATAGAACTGCCTCTGACTGGCAAGCTATGGACAAATACCTTCTTCCCAAGCTTGGTTGCACCCACTTGCCTAGGATCATCACAAACTTGTTGACTGTTGACCCTCCACAAGAAAGGAGAGGCAGGGAGAGTCATCCACAACTCAACTGATCAGTTGGTCCTAGTTGCACGAAGGGGACGGACTAAGGGTAGATAAGCAGAGGAAGCCATAGGGAGTGTATCTCACCATTTTGTACGGCTGCTGGAAGTCGCAATCCATGCCTGGCTGGAGACTTTCCAGTATGGTCTTGGGGTGAGTGGAACACCTGTGTTCCTGTAAGTAAACCCTAACTCACTGCTCTGTAAGCAAGCCCAATAAACTCTGGTTTCCCAGACTTGGAGTTTGGAGAAATTGGACCTTGGTTTGTTGTAGGGACCAAGGGAGGAGGGGGTCAGACATTGTGTTTCCCAGAAGGAATTTTAGCAACAGTAGATTAATTTATTTGCTGTCTTAAACCTTTAAGATTTCAGACCATAAGTTACAACTGACTACTCTGCCCCTCATTGCACAGTTCTCTCAGCACACTTCCAATTTTTTTTTCTGGGGTGAGTGTTCTCATTTTTATTATCTTTTTCTCCTTTTTAACTGTGGTCTGTTGCTAAAGTTGACTATATTTTCATACTTAGAGTGAGCCTTCTCCTATCCTCCATAGATACTCATTTAGTTTAAGTTAATTGGTATTGAACTTGCAAAATGTTGATGTTGCCCAATTATGCTGCTCAATTACACTGTTAACTGGAAAGAGGTAAGTTAAGAATTTATAAATCGAAGCTATCCCTTTGGGAAGTCTCAAGCAAGATAAGAAATGACTTCCTTTGGAGAGTTATTGCTATGATCTTGCTTTTCTTTTGTACCAGGTGAGATTCATGCTCCTGAGAGGCCCTGCTGAAATTTATGCTCCTGAGAGGCTTTGGTTTATTATAAGCACTTTTTTTTTGTCTTTTTGAATCAGGGTCTCCCTGTAGCCCCAGCTGTCCTAGAACTCACTATGTAGACCAGGCTGGCCTTGAACTCACAGAAATCCACCTGCCTCTGCCTCCCAAGTGCTGGGACTACAGGTGTGCACCACCACGCCCGGCTTATTATATACATTTAAAAATATTTTATTTATTATTTTTATTTTATATGTGTTAAGGTTCAGATAGCCCTGCCCCCTCACCAACAGGGTCTCAAGGACTTCTCATTCTCCTGAGAAAAGAGGACCAAGCTGATAAGCACGTTGGTCTTTGAAGTCAAGAGAAGCAGACTTTTCTCCACTGTTTGGCCAACATAGCAGGCTTCCCCTTTGATCTCTAAAGAGAACAGGTTTTAACAGTCCCTCTCTCCCACTCCTCCCCTCAACTTAAAAAAAATACACCTTCCCACCTTCTGCAGGAATCAGAAGCCTCCCCCTTAAAAGACCCCAGCTCACCACTGGGGCCAGACATTTTCCCTGCCCGGAAGGGAATCTGTCCCATATGTTCCTTTGCTAATAAACTCTGCTTTCTCCTGATCAACCCTATTCGTCACACAGCTGCTTGTTTATCTATCAATGTGTATGTGTGTATTGCCTGCATGTAAGTAAGTGTATCTGACAGAAGAAACTGTCAGATCCCCTGGAACTGGAGTTACAGACAGTTGTTAGCTGCCATGTGGGTGCTGGGATTCAAACCCTGGTCTTCTGCAAGAACAGTCAGTGTTCTTAACTGCTGAGCCATCTCTCCAACCCCTATTATATACATACTTTTTTTTTGGTCTTTTGGGGGCAGGGTCTCCCTGTAGCCCCAGCTGTCCTAGAACTCACTGTGTAGATAGACCAGGCTGGCCTTGAACTCACAAAGATCCACCTGCCTCTGCCTCCCAAGTGCTGGGACTACAGGCTAGCGCCACCACGCCCGGCTTATATACATACTTTTAAGAAATATCTCAGACCAACTTTCCTCCATCCAGTCCAGAAATAAAACTTTTCTATTGATGAAAGGGAAGAAAGTTTCTGTTTTTCTTTTATCTTTCCTTGGGTATAGGCTATGGTAGA